TTGTAAGAAGTCTCTGGAAACAACAAAACACAAACAACAAACACAAAACACAAACAACAAAACAACAAAGCACACGTCTGGTCCTTTTAAGGATGCATTCGCTCGCATTTACATAATAGTCGACACGTCATTCATTTCACAACACACACGTGATGGGTGTCACATGATACTGTATATAATAAGTACATGTGTTACAAATGAAAGCTTGTTCTTTGTTAATACTTGTCAGCAATCCCGCTGTCTTGTAAAAAACGTGTTAATGCTTTTAAAGCGTGGGACTGTAAAACTCCAGTTGGCCACGGGCCCAGAAGTTTTTTCATGCTAAATGGTCTGTGGTCCAATGCGAACAGTTCGCTTTTAAGACGGCGTCTTGGCGTGTCATGATGTGGACAGTCTATGAGAAGGTGACATACGTCTTCATCTATAAATCCACAATCGCATTCGGGAGTTTCAGCTCTGGCGATTCTGTGCAAAAAATGTTTTGTGTATGCGGTGCCTAGGCTCAATCGGTGAATTGGAGTTTCCATCCTTCTATCTAATGCCAGCGTAATTTTGAATTCAATAAATGGATCGATGTGATATAAATCGCAGCTCTTTGTACTTTGGTCAAACCAAGCAGTTTTGCTCATTCTGAAAGTTGTATTCTTTATAATACTACGCAATTCATTTTTCGAAATCGGTAAAGAAACAGTAACGTCTTTACGATGTGCTTGTCGTGCTGCTTCATCGGCAGCTGTGTTTCCAGGAATGTTGCAGCGGCCAGGTATCCACTGGAATTTGATCTCATGTTGCGCCTTCTTTGCTTTAGTGAGCTCCTTCAGCGTTTCGTATGTCATACTATCACTTATTACTGTCCTGTTTGTACTGGAGAGTGATCTTAATGCGGCCTGTGAGTCACTGAAAAGTACCCATTTTCTAGCGTCTGCTACCGAGTTTATAAACTTTAGAGCATACAGAATAGCGAAAAGCTCAGATGTTGTAGATGACGTCGTGCGGCATAATTTAAATGATTCCTGAATATTGAGCTGTCAACGTTTTTATTGTACTGCTATCTTTTCTAATGCCTTAGCTTATAAAACAAAATAAAAGCAATATTGCGCTCAAGTACGTATGTGAGACTGCGTTTTTCGCACAACAGTTATTAGTATTTTTATTTTCATTATTAATTTTTTTATTTATTTCATAGTATAACAAAATTAAGGACTAAGGGGAACATTGGGTCTGCTTGATTGTGAAGGGACTCGAGAAGTGAGAAAACTCAAACCAAAAAGTTTATTTGAGAAAAAAAAACTGAGCATTTCACAGCCGGACCAGTTTCTTCAAGGGTATAGGCCCTAGGTACGCGCGAGACATGCTATATGACTCATCTCAAGCTGTGGCAGTTGAGGGAAGGCAATATCACCGAGAAGCAGTTCCAAAATATATTTTGGTTGATGTTTTTTTGATTCCTCCAAAATAAGGGCTGCACAATTGTGATCGAGCCAAACCAAGAATTGCGGGCACGAAGTCATGAGACAGAAAATGAATAATGTTGATTATTTGAAAAATTGCCCTTAATAAAAGGAAGAGTTATGGAGTGCTACGTAGCTTAACCTGCAGTAGGAATTTTATATATACATATAGATAGTTTAAAATGGACAATGTTGCACACACAAACATTGGTTAAATTTCTTTGCAGCACAGTTGAAGCATCTATGTAGAACTGAAGCATCAAGAGAAGCTCATGCGTCCTCACTTTATTGCGCTTTACATAGCTTGTATGCGTCCGTGCAGCCATGATATGATATATTTTAAAGCATTTGTTTAACCTATAGTCTTCTTATTCATTAAAGCTGGCCCATAAGTTGTGTCTTATGTAGCACTACAATTGAAGCGTAATCTGCATGGTGGTCTGAAACAATGCTTTTGAAGATCTCAAAACGACCCAGCTCTATACGCGACCATCCGTGCATCAATGATAAGCACCATTATGTGTCCGTACATATCAGTTGTGCTCTCATACTTAATTATTTTTCTGACCACTTCCTCTGTCCCTACCTCGTTTCTGTCGTGAAGCTGTGGCAAGTTGTGTATAGCTGTATTAATATTGTAGGAGCACATATACTATCAATTAAAAATTATTTTTAGGCTACATGCAATTAGTTTTGATAGATTTTTATTTCTTTTGTCTGTGCTCAGGAGAGCTAAGCTCATGGTCGATATTTTAAAACGACATTTCTCTTTGCCAATGTTAATGAGAACAGTTTCATTAATATTGACAAGTTCACTCACATTGAATTTAGTTCTCATTATTATTGTTTCTACCAAAAAACGAGCCCCTGAAGTTATGCTTTTCTCGCTTGATTTGTTTTCGTGTGACAGCATGCAAGTAAAATGACAGTTATTGTCATTCCTTGTGATTGACACATTTTCCGTGTGACAGACTTTAGCACCTGGTCATCTGCAGAAGTTGTATTCATTCTGGAAAAGGGCGAACAGTGGTGACTGACAACACAGACTAGCCTGCGTTATTCTTTTGTACTATATATGTCACTGTGCATTCATTTATAACTTTATAGAGCTCGGATTTTCTGCTGAAAATGTGACAACAACTGTAGAGTTTCCACATTTTTGCAAAAATCCACATTCCTTTCATACACTATTGCACATTTTCGTAAGCACCTTACAAAATCTGTATATTTCCGTAAGACCTTACATTCTGTATTTTCCTTATGAAAGCTTCTGTACACTCCATACACTTTCCTTATCCTCCCATATCTTCCATAATGAACTCTCCGTACGTATGCTCCATAAGTTTCCTTATCTTTCCATATTTTCCATAAAACTCACTCCATCCACACCATAAAATTTCCTTATCCTTCCATATACTCCATAAGAAGCTTTCCATATATGCCATACATTTTCCTTATCTTTCTGTATACTCCACAAAAAGCTTTCGTATACGCCATACAATTTCCTTATCCTTCCATATACTCCATAAGAAGCTTTCCGTAAATGCCATACAACTTTCGTATATTTTCATAAAACTCCATATGTTTTCCGTATGTAGCATAAGGAAATGTTACGGAGTCCATATATTTTCCGTAAGATTTCATACGGAACTTTTCAGTAGGGTGCCTACAGATAGTACTGTGTTCTAGCAGGCATTTGACGTTATTCGGCTCTCAAAAAATTTACGAGGAACTGCAAAAAGCCTTGTTCTAGCTTCTGGAGTGTTTGGCGTGCGGTTGCATGGCTTAGTTCTTTTTCGGCGGAGTGGCGCGCATTTTATGTTCGAACAGGCTTGTTTCCGAGTATTGCAATTATGAACATTTCATTGTATAGAGATCGCTTACAGCTAAATAGCTCACGTGGCTCATGAAATATTAGTTTGGTGCATATTTACAATTGTGTAATAATTATAATTTCGGTAGTGTCGTAAGGCTGATTTTTTCTGGGAGTTGGATGAAGTTCAACCTCACTGTACTTGTTGGCACGTGCGTAGCGTTGGTAGTGTGCCTGTACGCTTCAAACATAAAATATTGTCAACCTGACCAAGCAACTGTTCGTAATCACACAACTATATTCAGTACAATGTAATAACACGGATTCACGAAAGCAAAGAAGAGCAATTCTATTACATGCCAAATTATGATTTACGTTATCTAACTGATACACTGACCACCGCATCGCCCCATTCTGTAATCGATTGAAGGGCATGCGCAGTAAACTTTTGATGGGCCAGCGGAACTTCATGGGACACATGCAATCGGCGACACAAGTCGCAGATTCGCACCACAGAGTTACCTTGAAAACTATTGAAGTCTTGCCTGTAGCAGTGCTGCCACGTAGTGGACAAGAGCTTGCCGCTTTTAGAAAGTATCGCTACACATGTGTAGTTACTTTCTTCAACCTAGGGCTAGCTGGACAGGTTCTCCAACATGAAGTAAATCTAATGCTGTCCATCGCGAAGGCTCGATCTTTGCACGTGCAACGCAGCTGTTTGCGCTGTTTCGCTAGTGAAATCATCTAAGCCAATGAGATTGAGTTGGGCGGTGGCCAGCACATTTTCGCCCTCGACGAAGCAACGTGGTCCGATACCCTCAATCCAATAACTTCAGCACAACGCCAATAGAAATAGCCACATGAACCCTGTTAGGCATGGCCATTTTTTTGTCTTTGTTTTTCTTCTCATGACTAAACATTGCATATGGTCAGCGCGGCGGCTCATGTAGGTATAGCTACACTCAATAAAACAGCAATACAACATTACTTTAACTTTTTTGCCACAACAAAATCTTTACGCTAGTTCGTAACGCACCACACACGGTCATTGGAGCATTGTTCTTCTAACAAAAAGTAATTTAGAGTTGAGTGAAAGATACTAATAGCCTGCGTTATTTGGAATATAGGCTCATGTTATTTATTCTGACATGTCATAAGCTCTGAGGATCCGTGCACTATGAGCCCTTTAGAGCACGAGCCAATGTAAAACGCTTAATGCCATGAAGCAAAACGAAACGCGACGTCCCTCAAACAGTTCAAAAGTTTAGCTTGATTTCAATATATGTAGAAGGCAGAAGGAAGTGCGCGAAAACATGGACGAAAGAATATACACCCACGCGCCGTTGTATGCATTCACAAAGCAACTTTTACATTTTTTCTGTGTTATTTTAGTTTTAATAAACCATCACAGCGTGATTGCGATTGCGTAGGCATAGTCTGAGTTATTCTTTTATAAAGTATTCCTAGCACTATTCACGTATTCATTGTTCTTAAATTGATGCATAAAAATCCAAGGGAGAGACTCGGCCACACGTTGTCCAGGTGGTTTATTGTCATGAAACATTGTTCTTATATGGATAAATATAACATATATATGAACAGCGCTATGAGAGCGGGAAAACTTTTACTGAAGAACTCGCGAAGCAACCAACACGTTAAATTTGTTGTCTTAGACACGATAAATCAATGCATTTTAGCTGTCTTGACTATTGTAACATTTACTGTATCGGTAAAATGTGCCGGAATCAGTACTTTTCCTGATTTTCCTAAGAAGGTGCCAGATATCACACAGGTGAGCTGTCCTTTCGCATGAATGCGTTGCGCCGCAATCTTCAGCAAAGAATTCTGCACTGATACCTTCATAAACAATAAGTGAAGCAACCTGTGCACAATTTAGCAGAGACATTCACGTAGATTGTATGCTGATGCCTCCTTTTGCGGTGAGTTAAATTTTTTACCATGACGGCATAAACACTTATGTAACATATCATCGCAAAACAAATACATCTACTCCAATACATCAACTCGTATACCTTAACTTAGGGGTATATAGCACAACATGTGCTATGAAATATCGACGAGGCATACATTTGGTGTACAAAAAAAACGTAACGTAACTGTGGTGTGAATTGTTCTGACGCTTAACTCAGCAAGAACCTCTTTGTCATACAGCGTTTACAACACAAATAATCCACTTTTTATTTTGGGGTATGCACTTTTATCTCAAGAGGCGAAAGTATTCGCCACCACACAGTAAACTGAACAGGTCTGAGGCATTGACGCTCAGACTCTTGCAGGTCGGGGCATATCCCAGTCCCACACTCTTGCACAAAAATTAAGAAATTCAGACGTCAAACACAAGCCTGCTTTGCCCTGACTTTGCCTTCTTAGATCCTATAGAATGCGCTACCACACAGTACGGATTTAAGGACACAGCTATGGGCAGTCTAACGAACCCACGAGGTGGTGGAGAGCTAAGGTCTATCTGTCCCGATTTGAGAGCGGCCCGCTACATGCTATTTCACGCCCAAGCGGACCAAAAGTTTTTCCACACCATTCCATGCACTTTCAGCAATAGGCACTTTCAGGAACAGTTAGAAACTCTCAGAAAACAACACTTTCCATTACCCTACCGAAAACATATACCTTTACACCCTGCAATGTTCGTCGGTAGGGAACCGCTTTTTAGTCATAAATCATTGTTAGCGTTTTTGAAAGAAATTCGTAGTTTTCATATCATATACCAGGACATTCCGTAGCACGACCTCTCCAGAGAGGTTTTCACTGTGGTGGCTACGCAACAAGCACTTGCCTCACGTCCTTCGAACGCAAGGGTATGAACGAGTGAGGAACTTGTGCTGATGCCATACATGTCCACCATCGTTTGCTATTATCACACACTTTTGTCATCTATTCACACTACACACATCTTTCATTGCATGGTCATGATTTTATTACCTGAATGTTTTACCTGCTTTACCGCGAGGAATTTTATGACCCTTATACAGCCGCTTAACGCAATCATTGTCCATATCTTTAGTAAGATGAACTGGCGCTCTTTGGCCGTGAAATGGTCCTTGCGCCACAAAACATGAAACATTATCATCATCATCATTATCATCAACAATGGGCGTCAATCGGTGGATTCAGAAAAATCGCTTGCACTATTAGTTCCCTGTTGGTTGTCTTTTAGCATCAACGAGTGCCCACCAAATTCGAAGACCAAGCTAGTTGGCTTATGCCAGCAAAAAGAAAATAAGATCTATGGTATCACGGCCTTGTAGAAGTCGTCTTAGCCAGTTTAGGTAGAAAATCGCCGACAATTTTTCTCTTTGAGGACATATATGATGAATGAAAGACAGTTGCTAGTGGCATGGCAATCACTGGACATCGCATTCCTGAAGATGGCAACACTAATACGCAAACATGCGAAAAGAACCACTTGCACAGTTGCAGCGTCCTCTGTCCTAGCTCATAATTAGTCACCCCCGTATTCACAAATGCTCCTAGACTCAGCTTTCACCCTTCACTTGACAGAGTTAGGCACTACGCCGCTGATCAGCTGAAAAAGACGCTGCGCTGCTCAAGAATAGCACCACATTATCGCTGATATGCAGTGACTTGCCGTGCCATAGAGGGCGCTTCCATCGGCTTTTGCTTTTTTTTTCTTCGAAGTGCAGGGCTCGAGTTTAGTAATTATTGAGTATAGGGACAATTGGTGTCAGAAAGGTGTGGTTAAAAAGACCGTAAAGTGTTCAGGATGTGGAGTGGGTTTGAAAGTGGACCCAAGCGTAGAAGCGGATGGAGAAGAGGCCGGCGCGAAGTGTAGGCAATGTGAGGCCGAGGAAAAAATGGAGAAAATGATGGTTGCCCAAAGTGAACTGCTGAGGAGAATCGCCGAGCTCGAGACTGCGGTGGCGACAGAGCAAGAAAAAACGAGGGCAATGGGAGAAAGACTGAAGTCCGCCGAGGAAGCGCTAGCGAAGCTGGACAAAGAAGCGACCTACCGAGAGAACAGTAAGGAACCGGCAACGAGAACGGTGGAGATGGAAAAGCAAGCAAGCTTGGAAAAAACAGGTTTAGCCGGTTCAACTGTCGCAAGGCCCAGCTTCAGCGAGGTAGTGGTGGGGCAGGAAGGGAACAAAGCAGTCGGCGTCACAGGTGCAAGTAGCCCCCAGGTGCAGAACGCTCCAGCTGAAAAGTCACAGCATGTGATAATAGCCGGGGACTCGAATTTAAATCGATGCACAGAAGCCATCAAAGAGAGGGTAAGAGGTGACAAGAGGGTTGCGGTAGGGGCGTTCCCAGGGCGCAAGCTGGAAGCAGTCATGAGGCAAGCGAGCGCAAAGCTCAAAACGACAGCTGATAGACGAAACCTCGTGATAATTTCAGGCGGTTTAAACGATGTCCTCAATGAAGATGCAGAAGGACTAGCAGCCACACTGGCGAAAGGCGTCGATGACATGCGCGCCACTTCTCCTAAGGTACAGGTAGTTATATGCACGATACCGGAGGTACCGGTGCGTGATAGCAACCTGCAAAGAGCGGTGGTCAACGCAAACCAAGAGATATGGCGGATGAGTCGAGAGAAAGGCTTTGAGGTGGTGGAAATAAACAGAGAGGTGCATAGGTGGGGGGGTTTTCAACGAGACAGAATTCACTTCGATAGGCGGCTAGGTCATGAGGTGGGTTGGCGACTTGCAGGACGCGCAGTAGCTTTTTTGGGGGGCAAGCGAGCCCTTCGGGGTGCAGGATAGCTAGTAACGAGGAAAACAACCAGGGAGACTCTTCGACAGCTGGTATGGACAGATACGATTCCAAAGTGGCACCAATATCTAAGATAGGTAGAGTCCGGGGCATAAATAGACGTAGCCACGAGCGCCGAGCCAATTCAGACATAGGGTATATTAACATGCAGGGTGGTAGGAACAGGCTGAAGTGGGAAGAGATAGAAGAACAGCTAAGGGAAGAGAGGCCGATGGTATACGGTTTTGTAGAAACACATCTCAGGGACATGGAACAACCTCCGAACAATCCGGACTACGCGTGGGAATATTGTAACAGAACAGAAGGCAGCAGAAAGGGGGGTGGTATTGGGACATTCATTCATAAAAGTACAGACTGGCAAAGGGTCAAGCAGGAGTGCAAGGAACATTTATGGCTAAAAGGGAAAGTGGCAGGTCAAATGACACTCCTTGGTTTCGTGTACTTGTGGACGGGAGCAAAGGCCAGAGAGGAAAACCAGGCAATGGTAGAGTGTATATCAAAGGACATTCAGGAGTTAGGAAGAGAGTGCGACATAATTATACTAGGAGACATGAATGCGCACATAGAAGATATAGATGGGTATACCGACCCGACAGGCAAAATGATCATGGATATGTGTGAAAGGCTTGATTTGATCATTTGCAACAGTACCGAGAAGTGTGAAGGGCAAATAACATGGGAGGTAGGAAGGCTTCAGTCGACGATAGATTATGCACTGATGTCACATAGGATGTATGATAAGCTCAGGGGAATGCACATAGATGAAGGTGGCTCCAGAAGTCTGGGTAGCGATCACAAACGTATCAAGCTAAGTTTTGGAAGAGCAGTGAAAGTGGGAAGGAGACAAGATGAGCAACTACAGAAAAATTTTTATCCAGAAAGGCAAATTGAAATAGCCACTAAACAAATTGAGAAAGTAATCACGGAGGATAACAAGACAGTGTGGACATACACGAATTTAATTAGACTCTTTGAGCTAGAGCTTGTTAAGACGCGTGACAAATCACCCCGGAAAAGAAGACACAAACCCAAAAGTTGGTGGGATGAGGAAGTTAAGAGAGCCATAGCAAAACGTCAGGAAGCCTCTAGGGAACACAGACATGCTAAGCAGCGGGGTGAACCGACAGATGACGTTGAAAGAAAATGGGCAACCTTTCTAAGCTGTAGAAGGGATGCATCCCTTCTGATCAATGAAAAGATTAGAAGGAAGGGAGCTCAGTGGCTGGCAGAAGTACATAAAAAAGATAAAAAGGCAGCTGCGAAATTTTGGAACCATCTAAACTCCCTAAGAAATGAGACGAGCCTAGGGCAGAGTTTTATAACTACAGCCCAAGGTGCTAGGCTAGAAGGGGACGAAGCTATTGAATATATATGAACAAGGGTGACAGAAAAATTTCAACAAAGAAGTACTTTATGCACCACAATAGACAAGGACAAATCAAGGGGTGCAATGGCTCCATTTTCACAACAAGAGTGGGAAAGGGCTGAGAAAAGGGTTCCTGGTAGTACATCAACAGGCCCAGATGGCATTCCAATTAGGCTGATAAAGACATTAGGTCCGAAGTCTAAGCAGGCTTTGAGAGAGGCAGTGAGCAAAATAATAATCGATGGTGAAGTTCCCAATGAATGGAAACTTAGCAGGATGAGCATGATCTATAAAGGAAAGGGGAAAAAGGCTGACATAAACAACTACCGTCCTATAACAGTGACATCAGTGGTCTACAGGCTGGCGATGCAAATTATAAAGGAAAGACTGCAGGCGTGGATAGAGGATGAGGGGGTGCTGGGGGAACTGCAGAATGGGTTTCGGAAACACAGGAGGTTGGAAGACAATCTGTTCTCACTGACGCAGTGCATCGAAATAGCAGAAAAGGAGCACAGGCCCCTGTGGCTAGCATTTTTGGATATCAAAGGAGCGTACGATAGCGTGGTTCAAGAGGAATTGTGGGGAATACTGGACACACTAGGCGTGGAACATGTAGTCACTAATCTTTTAAAGGGTATCTATAAAGGTAACAAGGTAGT